AAGAGTCAGAGATAATTGTGGATAGTCTTTCCTGGCTCTGCAGAGTGCATACAGGAGGTAAATAATCCATGCTATCCATGAAGGGGAAACAGAAAGCCCCATCGGTGCACAGGCCCTGCTCACAGACCTCTGGGAAGGACAGGGAGACCTTGACCATCTCTCCTGCATCCCACTCTCCAAAGAACCGTGGATTCACACTGTACCTGGTCCTAGCTCAGCTCTGTGAGGTGAGGGACGACTTCTTGTTCACCTCGTCCCGATCTGCAAGGAACGACCAACAACCTCGCCTCTACAACGAAACAAAAATACTTGTCCAAACGATTTTTACCTTCCCTTTGCAGCAGGGAATTGTATGCAGCTGTTACAGCTAATTTTGTAGAAGTTCTCCTTAACCACGAGTCTTGGAAGCCTTCTACCCTGGTCTTTCATGAGGAAATCCAGCCAGCACTTACGGACACCTCTATGTGATGGGACATGGTAGGAATGGCAGTCTGATTCCTCTATGGCAGCCTGATTCCTCTACGTGTCTCAGGGTATCACTAATTATTGCTACGGCTCTTGAAGAACTTATTAACAGCAAACATGAATAAACTGCATTGTCCTTGTGTAAATTAACTTTTAATGAAGGTACAACCTGTGTCTATTTACCATAAACCCATCTCTCCTGTATGAAAGCTTAGAGAGCCAGCAGTGAATAGTTTTAATACTGTGTAATTCTCTCATGATTTCCATTTCAGTCAGTGCAATGTGAAATTGGCTCTCATTATCCCAATTGCCATTGATGTTCAGGTTGAAACTAAATAAGATGCCTTTTTTCTCTTTCAACCTATGGCTTTTCTGAAGGAAACTACTGTTAAAACATGATAGACATTTATTTAATTGCTTTCTGAGCAAATTCTAAGCCATACAACAGCACAGAGGTCAAGAAGAGAAAATCTTTGGGTTTTACTGACATTTCAGAGCATCATCATTAGATAAGACCTTGAAACACCTGCATGTTAGTTAATGGTTGTTTGCTTTCATGGATAATGACCTATTTCTTACAGAAGAGCTAATACCTATAAATTTCTCATTTGCTGCCTGGAGATTTTAATAAAAACTAAGAGATTGGAATTCAGCATGTTTCATATATCAAATTACTACTGTAAAGATTTTATTCAGCTGCTTGTAAATGGTCATATACAGAGCCTCTTTTATACCTCTCACAAAAAGAACCCCCAAAAAACAGGTTCTGATGGATGAGAGATATTGTTTAGAGTTTAAAGGCTTCTCAGGTTTGTCATGTTTTTAGCCCTGCTCATTATTAGATGAATGACTCTGAAATCTGTATCGTTAAACATTAAAAAAAAAAATAAAATAAATTCCGTCTTATTTGAGCCATTGTTACACCAGGAGATGAGTCCATGTGCATGTATTACATATATCATCCCAGTTGTCAAGAGTAGGGCTCTCATGATAAGTGATTTAAGATTATGGATCAGAGGCCACTTGCTTTCCCTTAAGTTATAATAATAAATATGCTAATGCTTTTAGTGTCATTGTTAATTCCTTGTTTGTGAACACTCAGAGACAGGCTGAGGTGCTGTGCTTTGAAAGAAGGATCTGAAGATGAGCTATTCCCAAGGAGATTGGGGAATCCAAAATTCTGAGCTTAAAGCACCGTCAATTCAGTGTGGGAGATGAAGTCCTCTCCCACATACAAGGAAAACAGACTGGGGCTTTAAGGCAAAGTTCTGTTTTGGACATCTTGCTACACAAGCAGCAAGGGCTACATTTTCATTTTACCTTCTCCATGCTGACTTCCACTTTGCCTTGAGTTCCCACGTTAGGACTCATCAGTTTTAGCCAAGAGTTTGTCTGGGACTACACACTGAGTGTGTCATTCAAGCATAAATATTTGAGATCTGAGGCAACAAAACACATGTGAAGCGGTAGTAATTCCAATCAAGCTACTAACCTATGTTTTAATTTCAAGTATATGTATTTGAAATCTTTAGTTATCAAAGAAACACATGCACATGTGTTTACTTTTACTCCATCAATACTAGGATGGTTCAACACCATAGGAACCTACTCTAACACTCATTCTTCCTTCTTGTGCTTTGAATTTAGGTTTCAAAACAAAGCTATTTCAACATCCTGACTGAATGAATGAAATGTATTATAAATTTGTGGCAAATGATGTTGCAAAACACATTCCAAAGTGACAATGTAGATATATTTGGAACAATTTAGGATGTAATCATGTATGTTAGGTTGAAAAACACCCTTGGATGATGGAAACTGTCTGAGCTGTCTGATGGAAAATGAAAAGCTGAAATTCCTCACTAATTATCATGTGTCATGAGCACACATGTTTTGCAAGATAATAAGAAGCTTAATGAGAAGTTCATAAAAATTAGGGAGAATGGGAAATTGTGTGAGGCAAATATATCCAGACAACAGACTGGTCAGAATGTCACTACTGGAGTTTTGAAAACCAGACTGGTAGAAACCCCTGAGGGCAGGTCCAGGCTGTCAGACAAAGTAGTGCAGAAAAACAATTCAAAACCTGGGACAATAACCCCCACTTCCAACCTATGTTGGAGCACTATCTGGATTTAGCAGCTCAGCTGCAGGTGCTGTGTAATCCCATTAGCCCCACTAATTATCTACAGTAATAAATCTGAACTGACACTGGGTACCTTGAAGGTCCCTGTAGTGTATTCACAGCCACTTGCCTGCTCTAGGTTTGGTACAGACAGATTCAATTTAAATGCAGAGGATCTTATGGCAGGGCTTGAAGGTGTAATGAAGGAACTAAGGCAAGAGAAACAATCCACCCTAGATGACTAATCTCTGGGACTGTACCACTGTTTCTATGATTTTTCAGCTGGGATTCACAACATTTCCTCATTTGTTTTGGTGAAGCACATCATAACACCTTCCTGAGTGGAGATACAGGTAGGAAGACTGGCTACGTCACAGCTTTCCAACCTTTTGCTAAAGTTAAAGCTTTCTCCTGCAGCAGGAAGCAAACTGCCTGATCCCTACACTCCTTACAGACCCTGGGATGTTCTGTGCAGGCACTACAGGCCACAGGTGCTTTTGGTTTTGTAGACTTGCAGGCTGTACGGGACACAAAACATCAAAATTTTCAAACCAGTGCTCAGGTTCTTACATTTATCTTGTCTCTGCTCTTCTGTAACATGGGCTTTTCTGGGAAGCTCAATTAGCTGCAACTACTGATGTCCAGATGTAGAGGTTCCTGAAATCCTTCCACTGTGTAAAATAGGTTTTGGATCCAGGCCTATGTTTAGGCAAGTCTTCACCAAGGAAAAACTGTTAAAATCCTAAGTCACAGATTTTACAGGCATATTAATTATCTAGCTAAGCAGCCACTCCATCTTACAGACCAGAGAACACTGCTTACCACGAATCGAAAATTAGGGCTCTAACTGCATTTTTATAATCTATAAAACCGGACATGCGGAAACTATAGAAGGAAATTTCAGTAATTAAAGCATAGGTTCTCCTAATTAACTGCAAAGCATCATTAAAATCTAATGAAACTGTAGTGGGGTAACACAGGACTCTGGCTTAACTGCAAGGAGATAAATGCAAATGAAAGTTGAATTTTCATGAGGTTTGACGTTTACACAATAGGATTGAATGCATTTACAGTATTTGCAATATGAAAGCTCACTCAACACTGTATGAATCAGGACTGGGAAGTTAGAGTATTAGTGTATAAGAAGTTAACATACTAAAGAACGTGGAATACTGAAGCACAAGAATCAAAGAAATAAAAATCTTTGTAACTTAAAGCAGTTGTATTTATGACGGTAAACTGCATTTCACAGCAGATGATTAATAACAGAACTGCTGCTGCATCAGCATGATGTAAGACTAAATTTTTTAGTGTAGACACTTCATCTTGGCCTCCCTGAACAATCTGCATCACATCCCATATTGCCCAATAGATTCAACTGAGGAAAGAACTTCAAAGCTGTATAAGCACTAGATATTTCAAGATATTAATCTGTCATGATGCTTCCTTACACTCCCTTGGAAACTTTTTAGTTCTTGGGAGGGAAATCATGGTTACTGAAACTTGACTGCCTAATTTAAGCTGATGTGTGTCAGGTCCACAGAAGCCACAGGAGCATCGCTGATCTCCACGGACCAAAAATCTAGACCTAAAGCTGTTCTATCTTACCTACATTCAAGGCACTGCAGGTGGAACCCCTCCCATTTGACTTCCGCTCTCTGAAATATTCAAGGCCAGGCAGATTGACTGCACATATCATGAAGAAAGAGAGGCCTTGAGAACAAGTCATGAGGTCTGTCCTGGCAAACCATAAACCACTCTCAGAAGATGACCTTCTCCTTTAATCAGCTTTTGAAGAAACCTAAATGACCAGTCCTTTCTGAGGGCTGAAGTCCTGTAGGACTTCTACCCTGCATGGATGCCAACAGTATCACGTTTTCTGTATCTCCCTATGAAAGGCCTGAAGTGCTAGCCCAGAGATTCTAGCTCAAGGAGATCAATCTCTACTGCCATTAAATCCTACACTAATTATGCTGATGGATATGTCAATGTCCTGGGCATCAGCAAAAGGTCCAAGCCAATCAAATTCATTTAATTGCAATGCACAGATGCCAGCACTTCTCAGGATAATACCAGTGTAGTTTAGACACCAAATCATGTTCTCAGACTAATTTGAAGACTAATTTCCCATTGATTTCAATAGTTAAGTACATTGACATTGTTTAATAATTAGGCAAACTAATACTGGAAAGCAGCAAACATTTACCATAATGAAAAATAAAGGCATATTTTCAAAACAGTCCATTTTTAAAACAACCAGCTTTTGTTCCAAACACAAACATAATAAAGTAGTAGCATGCAGTTAAGGATTTGTTAGTAAGTTATATGCTGTTATACAGTTCTCTTTCTAAGAAAGCACACAATGGACATAGACTCCTGCTATCTAAATTGTTACCTCAGGTACTCATACCTTTTCTGTGTCAATTCCTTTAGACATGGACCAAGTTGAGACAATATAATCCATGACTCTTTCACTAAGGCCTTTTGGGACTTGATATAATTTTAGGAAATCCCTCACATTGTTCAGCATCTCATGGTATCGGTTGGTGTTGGCATACATTTGCTGGAAAATGGTGGTGACGTTTCCAAAAATAGTTGCATAAAGAAGAGCTGAAAAAAAAAAAAAACAAAAAGTAATTGAAAATTAAAATGTATGCTCTAGCCAATGCTAATCATAATTCAAGGATAATGTCAGAAAATTTTATGTTTGGTTACAAATTACTGCAAATACATAGATGTCAACTGAAAATTTCTATTTATGCACACATTCTCACACACATACATGTACAGAGTTATTTAATGAATTTACCCATACAGCTCATACAGCCACCCAGTGTGCATTCATTTACAAATACAGTCCTATCATACAGATAATGTCCACACATGGAGTTATTTAAAAAAGTGCAGTTTAACTCTATACTAATCCAAACTAATTTTCAAATGTAGCTTTAGCTTGACAGTAAACTTTGAAGGCACTATCGAAGTAATCATGTTGATCTCCTTTAAGATTGGCTCAGCTACCACATGCTATGAGTAGAGAACAGCCTCAGTCCCGAAGATGGAATGAAATGGAGAAGAAAGGAACCCATGAAGCCTGGCAAGGAGATAATGATACAAATGGATCCCGTGTCAAAGGCCAAGAAGTTCACAAGAAAGATTCAGAGTGGCATTTCACAGTCTAATATCCCAGCCAGCCCCAGCAGATGACTTGGCTGTGTGATGCCAGCTCCAGATGCCAGTCACTAATGATTCCAAAGAGAGAAAAACTGGACCAGTGAACAATAGAAAGTCCCAATGCTGAAGGCTAGGCAGGAGGAGGACATGGTAGACTAGGATGTGCTACCTGAAACCCACTCCTAGAGTTACCTTCTCTTCTGGTTTGATTCTTCTCTTTCCAAACATGCCAATGTTTCTGCAAGTCTCAGTCAGTAGAGTTTTGCAGCACCAAAAAAAATCACAGGCCGTATTTGAGAAGATCACATGTTTAAAGGAAGCCTTTCCAACTGAAAAGTCACCAACTTCAGTATACTATTACAAATGTGATACAGTGAGCACTAATGGATGGAGAGCAGTTAAATTCTAAAGCCTAAATTTGGCAAAGTGTTTAAGCCAAAACTTAAATGCACACCTTTACTAGTGCTGTCTTGAATAATGGTGGACCGAAAGATGCTCCTAAAGTCAAGCAAGTTTTAGGTGCCTTATTGAGTCCCAACAAAATTACTCTTGCAAGCAAGCCCAAGATTACATTCTTACATCAGACATTATGGATTATGCTGAAAAGAGAAATATTCTGATATAATACCAATGTGCTGTACTACCTCTACTCTTGACATTATCAAATACACAGAAATGTGCCTGTCATTTTTAATAATCTTTGCTCAGAGGTACTTTATCAGCTATGCATTTCCATATTGTCATTTTCTGAAAAACAACTGCAGCCTACAAGTGGCAAGAAATAACCCAGTGTGAAAGGAAAAAATGCCTTTTATGGCTCAGTGCATAATGTCTTCCCTCTACCCAATCCATTTTTACCTCATTCCTGAAAACTCACTTTGTTTCACAGTAATTTACTGTTGTTCATCACTCCTATTTGAGAGGTGGCATTTTCAAAGAAACACGGTGCTTTCCTAAAACCTGCCTAATAGAAAAATTGAACTTCCACTTCACACAGTGCTTTTTACATGTCCAGGTAAAAATCAGACGCTGAAGTTCATCACAAATACAAGATCGTATGAAACAAGGTCACACAACGTATAGCAAAAATGAACATGAGGTTTCAGTTTTAGAAAACACAGCAGATTAATATATGTGATGTTCAGAAATAAAGCTTGTTGTGAGGGTAGGTTTTTTCCTTGTTTTACTGATTGCTGTGAACTACTGAAAGGTTTTCTCTCTCTCTGTATCCATTCAGATATATATCAACACTCAGAGTACAAGCATATGGATTATAAAAAAGCCTAGATGGATGAATGCCACCTGACTTTTTTTTTTCTTCAGCTTTCTCTGTTCTTTTGGACTTTTGCAGTAGGACAAACTTGATGAAGTGTCACTTCTCCTAAGTGCAACATCCCTCATCCTTCTGAAGAACAGCTGCTGATTTATCATGCACTCATCTCATCAGGTATGTGAGGGCGCAATATCTCACCTTGTCTCTGATGTTAGATGCTTCTGCAAATGGCTATGACTATAAATCTATAGAGAAGCCCTAATTGCCCCCAAAATGCTGTCTTTCTGCTTGAGTAGAATTTATGCAAGCCTGCAATGACAGCTAGACTGCATATACATATATAATGCCTGCAACCCAACTGGCCATGAAAACCTACACAGAGGAAACAGGCTGATTGAAAATATGATAACAGTGCCATGTAAGGCTGGGAAAAAGAGATTGAACTCTGACACCTGCCAGGTTGGAAACAGCTAAGAATGCTGTGGTGAAAACAGCTTGTCTGAAGCAACTGGTGCCTAAATCCTCCTCCTGGCAGAGACGATTTGTAGAAAATATACAGCCAGAAGAGAAATTTCAGTTCTATGCCTCGTAATACAGGGTCCTGGAAAGTTGTACTAGAAAAAATGCACATTTCTTCAAGAAATTAAGGATAGAATAAATCACTGGATCAAGCCTGCAAAATCCCTGTAAGCATTACCCAGCAGTACCTCATCAAGCTAGAACCCACAAGCCCACAGGCTGTAGGGTCTGCACAGACAAACCCAGCATTATCCCTCTGTTGGGAACCAAAGCCTTCCTTTGCCTTCTATTGGATGTGGTAAAGACACATGGTTGAGTCCATCCAAATCCTTCACTTCTCTCAGAGGTTACTCTATGTGGGGCCTCTGGAAAACATTTAAAGGGAACCTTCTTAGATCTTCACAGCTTTGAAGCTGCGCCTCAAAGACTCTCTTCACTCGTGGTGCTTCCCTATGCCCATGCTGGTAGCAGCTGAGGATGGTTTGCAGGTTTTTGGGGAAGAGAAGATTTTTCATAATTTGGCATGGAAAATCCACCTTTCTCTGTAAATCTGCTCCCCATCCCTGTTCTCTATATGATAACTAGAAAAGAAGGTCATTTATAGAAAACTAGTACTTATTGTTATGCATGTCTTGGTATGCAACAAAACAAGTTGGTGCTGATAAGGAAATAATAAATATATCAAAAAAGTATTTTATATTGCATTTTTTACACCTCTTTTAACACTCCTCGACAGCAAAAAGGTCTTCTGCTTGGGAGGGTCTAGTGAGAAGAGGTTAGTCTGCCTTAAAAATACAAGTTACCTACTTCTGCTCTTTCCCAGTCAGCTTTAGGCTGGGATAAGTGCATTGGCTGCAAATATGACAGAGATGGGACAGAACAGGACAGTGATCTGGATCAGCTCCTTAGTTGGCAGAGATGACTCTGCTCAGGGAGCACGTTGGATTCCCTATGGACAGATACACGGGCATTTAATCCTGCTGTTACCTTCAAAGGTTTAAGGCTCTCCATCAATGACTCTTACTGCCCATAATTAGCAAGTGAAGATTTCTCAGAGGATCCCTATTTAATGTCGAAGCGACAAGCGTAAGTCTTGCACCTCACCTTAAAACAACAAAGGCAGAGAAGTGCTACCAAAGGCATTTCGCTTTCGCTGTATTTTAATTATTTTTGGCAGGCGGAATTGGCAGCAAAGATCACTTGCAAAAGGTTCTGAAAGAAAATAAAATACTGTGCCTGTCTTGACAGCAAAAGCATTTAAATAATCTCTAAAGAAATCTCTAAAGGTATTCATACACTTTAATAGTTTTATTGTAGTCTCTCAGTTTACAATAAACAGGAGAGATGAGGTTGAAGGTGAAATTACCCAATTTCATGAAACGACTACTTAGGTCAAACTGCATTTATTTACCTTCTCTTTAATGACCTGCATTTCTCTGAACATTTCCTATTATGTTCCTACTGTCATGCAATGCTCATTTACTTAATTGTTCTATGTGTGTAAATCTGAAACAGTCTTCACTAGATTTTATAGAGATCAATTTGATGTAATGATGCAGAAATATTTTTTTCTCGGTCCTAAAGGTGAGGTAAATGGTCCAACTGTTATTTTAGTTTCTATTTTTACTCTTCAGTGTGGAAAATCTCTCCAAAATTACATGCAAGGACATAAGTACTATATATTTTTACATATAAAATGTGTGTTACTATATTTGTACTAACATAAAACATTTCTGAATGATTTAGCAATAGTGTTACATAAATCTTTTAGCCTATTTAAAAATACGGAACTTTCTGAAAAAAAATGACTCAGAGTTACCTAAATCATTCCAAAGCATCTCAAATCTCTTATTATCCTGACTGTATGCTAAATATGTCCAGATAGGAACATCTGCCTCAAGGAATTGAAGGCTTGATTGAGAGACCTAATTTTCCTTATGGCTTGCTCTATGCTACACTACTATTAATCCAAGCATATACAATGTTCCTCTAAACTTCAATTGTAAGGCAGAATATTAGTGAGGGTGTATCAGTCTCTTCTCACAAGTAGCAACCAATACTTGATACAGGACAAGTGGAAATGGCCTCAAATTGTGCCAGGGGAGGTTTAAATTGGACATTAGGAAAAAAATTTTTTTCAATGAAGGAGTTGTCAAGCCCTGGAACAGGCTGCCCAGGACAGTGGTGGAGTCACCATCCCTAGAGGGATCTAAAAGACATGTAGATGTGGCACTTGGAGACATGGTTTAGCGTGGGTTTGGCAGAGTTGGGTTAATGGTTGGACTCATTCACCTTAAAGGTCTTTTCCAAATTAAATGATTCTATGAGGACTTCATCCTGGAAAAATAGATATTTTCATTTTTGCATGTTGAAGCTAGCCATAGGTTCTTCTTCAGTTAATTTCTGGATTTAGTTATTCCCGTAGGATTTTTAGATTAATATTATTAAAGTTCTGTCATCCAGGAGAGATATTAAAGTTCTGTCATCCAGGAGAGATTCGATACAAACTCCAGTAATATAATAAGAGAGAAACCCAGTGCCCAAATGCCTGATTTATTATTTAAAAAGCTGAGCAGTTTTCTGTTATTTCTTTCCACCTCACCTTAACACATCTGACCAGATTGCAAAACGTTCTGCAGTCACA